TGAATAAGAAAAGGACACAAGGCGACGGCGTTGACCTTATTGGCGAAACACAAAACGAGGTAGACTTAAGTACTTAAATGCTTAAGAGACCCAAATTGTCTAGGCAGTTTAGCTCTCTTTTGTGCGTTATCCATGCACTTTTCTAACTACATCTTCGTTTTACTGAAATTTTGAATGGTATAAGGAAAAACAAATTCAGGAAAAACTTATTTTACGCAGATTTCATTAACATTAAGCTTGAAATAATTTTGAAGCTTATTTATTTATTTGCGTTGCTCTCAATTTTTCTTAAATAAATCTTTGAATACTTTTTTAATTTCTCACTCAGTCAGATGTCTTTGTCTTAAAATAATATACAGCCTATTTTATTCTCTATCTATGATCTCTGCTCCTCGTCTACCATTAATACATCTGAAATATGAAATTCTCTTAACTGATAGCTTAATTAATTTTAAGTTCAAATATTAATTTGAACTAGTGAGAGGAAATGAAGAGAGTGACAGAATAGATGCAACAGTTGGGGATCACGTTTTCCCTCACGCTCACATCTCTAGCTGGTCATTCCTCATTGTATCTGTGAAGCAATTCGCTGTGGCGTGCGCTAAGGAAAAGCAATCGAACCAATGCTTGCATCCTGGCCGCCAATTGTGGCCGGCTAGAATGGCGTTTAACATTTCTGAAGCACTTGCCGGCACTTCCGCCGTCTGCACTTGAGCACCAAATTCTCAGCCATTAGGACGTCAAGTAGCGCATGGACTTGAGGGGCCTGGCTTGGCTATTCCGGAGACTCAGCAGTTGAAATACAGAAACGGCTTAAAAGCCTTGTCAGAAAACTCTTTTTATTTTGGCATTCAAAAACGGGCGCAAACAAAAACGCAAAAATAGCAAAACAAAATACTTAACGTTGACATTTCACTTAGCGAAAAAGAACGAGGGGCAACCGCTTATTTACTCGTGTATGTGTATGTGTCCAAAACCCTGGGGACACACAAAAGTTGTTTAGAAATTCATTGAGCCAAAAGTTGTTCGCTTGCCTGCACTGTGGGCTCTCTAGCTGTGCTGCTCCCTCACGCGTCTGGCTCTCCTTCTCTATCTCCCTCTATCGTTAGCAAGTGCTCCTGGTATATTTATAGCTATAGCGTGTGTCAAGGCGACAAATAAATTTTTGGACAGCAATTTCATGCAACGTGCCGAGCAAAACAAAAAACATAAAATAAAATAGAAGCAGCAGCAAAATGTTGATTTGAATTTGCCACATGCACAGCAAAGCAGCCAGTCGCAAGAACCACAAAGCTCAAGAGGCAAGCAACAACCAATTCGCGTCATATTGCATTTATTTATAAGTCTTTTGTGGCCTTGCCAGCTGCAACAGTTGCTGTTGCATGCGGCATTGCCAGCTGCTAGTGTGAAGAAGGCTAAGGCTGGATTGTCCGCTTTCAACAGGCGCCACCTGACGGTCAGCTTGGACACTAGCAACTTTGTTTGCAACAACATGAAGAAGCACAAAAATGTCAAACTGGAAACTAACTCCAACTGAGGAAATAACAACAGAGGACTAAAGGGCAAAGAAGAAGCAGACAGAGACGAGGCGTGAGAAAAAGACAGAGGGGCGAGGGCGAGGGTGAGAGTGAGAGAGTGGGAAGCAGAGCGTGTTAGTAGGAGGTGGTGCAAGAGAAAGAGCATTTTGACAGCCATTTTGGCACTTGGCAATTTCCCCCGTCGAGAGTACATGACAAAAATTGTAGAGTATGCCGCAGGCGGAAGCAGTGGGGTAGTGGTTCGATGCGGGTGGAGGGATGCGCCCGTACGTTAGGTAAGGTAAATTTTTCTTGTCGAAAACTCTGGCAAAAAGTTAAAAGTTTAATTGTGCGCAACGCTTAAAATGCAAACGCTGGACAGCTAGAGCAGGAAAATGCACGAACGGAGGCAGGAGGTGAAGCTGAATGCAACATCTGTGACAAGTTTTATTAAGTTTATTTTAAATTTTTGCATTTGCTCGAGCCAAGGGAGGGGATGGGCAGGGGCTAAAAACGTGCTGCCACAAACTTGTCGGCTAGCATATTTTGTGAGGATAGAGAACGACGCTTTGTTGCAACTTTGATAAAATCAAATGTGGAAGCTGTAAATAGGAGGTTAGAGAGAAAAGAATTGCGACAGGAAGGGCGCCTGTCATGTCACACACACTTTTTTATGGCAGGTTGCACACACTTGACTGCCCAATGGCCTTTGCAAAATGCAGCTGAGACTGTCCCAAGCCGGACAATGGCCACTTAAAGCCTTGCCAAGCGCTCATAAAACGTTTAAGTAAGGGAACAGCAAAGGCAGCGAATAGGAAAAAGAAGGAAGTGGAGCTGTTGCAGTGACAGGTAATGCATATCCTTGAGAGCAGGTTGTCAGGTGTGTGTAAAATATTTAAGTGCCATCAGTTGCTGTCATACTTTTTTAATTGACTTATCAATAATTCATGCGGGGCAACACTCACACCAGCACAAGCACAAGCAGAGAAAGAGAAGGGGAGAGAGAGGAGGAGAGAGAGAGGTGAATTGTATATGGCAGTGTTATTCATAAATACAAATGAAGTCAGTGGCGCGGCGCGAATGCGAGAGGTGAGACAAATGCGAGAGATTCGAGGCTCTGTTTGGCCAGGTCGACGACTCGCCTTGTATTATTTATATACACACACACACACATAGGTGTGTGCACATGCACGACTGCTACGATAGATGGCGCCATCAGCACGTCCAATATACGCAGTAAAGAAAAATGTTCGAAATGGTTAATCCTTAAGCTGCATGCTTAAATGGCTTTTACATCGAACAGTGTGCTCCAACATATATTTGTCTTGTTAAACATTGCTTATTACAAATAAATATATGCTTATATATGAAACTCTCATTTAAAGCAAATAGTGTAATTAGTTGAATACAGTAATAATAATACAAAATAATATTTTAAAATATTATATGCTTATTTAATAATTTTATTATTTTTATTTTGGTTATATTTACTTTTTTTATTATATTTTTTTTTATTTTTATTTTTGTGACTGTTTTATTTTAATTCTTTAATTGTTTGTTTATTATCATTAGGATTTTTATTATTTAATTTCTCTTTAGTATTTTCCATAATTCAGCGAATTTCTCACATTTCGATTAACCAGTTTTTAAATGGTTTTCTTTCAGTATTATTTTTTCGACCACTGTCGCTTTTTGGCCCCATATATTTATTTTGATTAATTTAAGTGACAGTCGAGTTAATTCGGGTTTCAGTATTTCTGCTGCAAATATTTCTCATTCTGGTGTTCATCTTTATCTTGTGCTCCACTTTTGGTAATTTCAGCTGCAGTCCAAAGTGGAGAAACGTGATTGATGCATTTTTAATGCGCTTTTCGGAGCAGCATTTTACAACGCAGCTGTGGAAGGGGTAGACAGAGTTGTTGTGATTGCGCATTCATTTGAAAAATGCAATTGTGGTTGAGCGGCCATTAAAAAACCTTTAAATAAATTTTAGTTGACATCTCGCGCAGAACGGCAGCAGCGCATCATAAATATTATTTGAGAAACATAATCAGGGCAAAGGTTGAGGACGCTAAACAAAAGCAACGCAGTAGAGCATTATGCGTCAAGGATAAAATCAAATTTAACGCATCGCTTGCATTTGTGCAAAGGCTGCGCACGAGAAGCTCGACGAGGAGCACTACGAGGAGGTGGAGCGTCTTCTAAATGCTTTGAGTTTGGGCTATGCACTCTCTGGGCTGCTTAAAGAAAGGCCACGTAGCACTTGACATGAGCAGAGACAAGCACACACATGCACTGAGACACACACAGGGACACATACACAGAGGAGGACGTTTAAGTGAGAATTTCGGGCGTGGATGGGGCGTTGGGCACGTGCCGTCGGCTTACGCGCCGTTTGCTCTATGGGAAGCCGTCGCCATATGAGAAAAAGCAGCGTGAAAAATGTGTAGCATAAGACAAGGCGCATAATCAAAAGTAAAGCAGCCAAAGGATGCCCAAAGCAGCCCCCATGAACGAAACAGCCTTTGCAGAAGATGCACATGCTGAGCGCAGTGCTGCGGCTGCTGCGCTTGGCTCAACATAATACAATATTTCAAGCCACAGAGAACAAAAAAAGTATTAAATGAAAAAAAAACAAAAGCCAAGCTACAAAAATCTTACACCGAGCTGCAGCAGCTCCACATGTCAAAACGGCATTGGGAATGGGGCCACAGATTGAAATGTATGTGTGTGTGCTTGTGTTATAATACATGCACTTGTGATATTGATTATGAGTCTGTTTGCTCACGCTTTATTATGCGCGCTTCCACTTTCGCAGCACCACTAAAATGTTATTCAATTTCATTAACTCGGCATGAATAATATTGTAAGTACTTATAATGGAGTCATAATATAAAAATAGTAATTGATAAGTATATCAATTATTTAGCAAATAAAATATTTTCAATTACTATAACTATATATAACTAGTTCAAAGTTTATAAATTTTATTTTACTATAAATATAGAGCTGGGGTAAAATATCCCCTATATATTTAAAATAGCAAGAAAAATGGGAACTTCTTAAAAATATTTATAGTTTTAAATAGGCGAACTGCCGTTCAACTATAAAGACTTCAGCTTAGCAACATAATCGATCAAGTCCGAACTTTATTCTCTGTGGTCTCATCGTGCAGATTTCTTTTCAAACTACCACTAGATTGATCCACTCTCCTGTTAACTAGCTTTGTGCTGGCTGATGCTTAGCCAGATTCTATTGAAGAATTTCCTTGGCCACTATTCGCATTATATATTGGATCACCTGCTTGCGACACGAGCGACATTTGGGCTCAAATCGATTTTGATGATTTAGTTTGAAAAGTATTGGCTGTTATTTCGTTTGTCTTTTGCGTATTACCGTAATCCCAGAGCTGTCTCAAAGTTAGCTTGGACTAACGCGAGTTTTGTCTGTTGATTGTAGCGGGGCTGGGGACGTGGCACTTACCTCTTCCTCATTGCTGGCCGTGTTCACGGAGTCCATGCTCTGTGAGAGTCCCAGCGGGGCCAACGCCATTTGATTTTCCATTATGCTGGCGTCTCTGCTTATTGTTGCTGATGCTGCTGCTGTTGGGGCGCCTGCAGTTGTTGTTGTGTTTGTATTGTTGTTGTTGTTGTCGCTGGCAACTGCTGCTGCGGCACTGACACTGCCTGCCGGCGAGGGAGTCGTCGGCGCTGACTCGTGCGACTGTGACTCGTGCGTGGAGCTGCCCGGGGAGTTTGTATTGTTGTTGTTGTTGTTGATTGTTGCTGCTGCTGTTGTGGCAACACTTAAAGCAGTGGTTGCTGCAGGTGGGTGCTGGGCAGCAACTGCTGCTGTTGTTGCTGTTGCCGCTGAGCTACTCTGTTGCTGTTGCTGTTGATGTTGCTTGTTGCTGTTATTGCTCAGTACTAAATGCTGCTGCTGCTGCTGTTGCTGTGGTGCGTACTGTGCGTGAGCGTGTCGCAGCTGATATCCACTATAATGGGCAGGCGCCTGCTGCTGCTGCAGCACCGCCACGTGCTGCTGCTGTTGCTGATGCGCCGCGGCAGCTGCAACGGCTGAGTGCTGTAGATGCTGGTTGAGCAGAGCAGCGGCGGCGGCTGCCTGATTGAACTGCGCCAAGCGCTGCTGTTGCTGCTGCTGCTGCTGCTGCTGATGTTGCTGGTGTGCGTAGGCAACTTGCTGTTGCTGTTGCTGCTGCTGTTGTTGCTGTTGCTGGTGGTGCGCGGCAACGGCGGCCGCAAACTGTGTGGGATGTGCAAAGCTCAGCTGGTGGCCCTTGAGCGCTGCGGCTGCTGCTGCTGCGGCTGCGGCGGCGGCTGCTGCTGCTGCTGCTGCCGGCGAGGTGGCGTATTGCAGATGGGCACCGGGCGCGGCAACTGCTGTTGCTGCTGGCACGGGCAGCACCGATACGGCGGCGGCGCACTGGCGCTTGGGCGACGGCGACAACACCTGTGGGGCACTCGCTGGCGTTTGCGGCAGCGTCGGCCTGCGTTTAATCGCAATCGACGAAATGGTGATGGCTTTTTCAAACACTGGCCGCTGGTGTTGTTGGTTGTTGATGGTATTGGTGTTGGTGTTGGTGTTGGTGTCGGGTATTATTGATGTAGCTGTCGTTGCTGTCGTCAGCGTTGTCGGCGTCGGCGTCGGCGTCGTTGTCACTGCGGGCAGCAGTTGCAATTGTGGTTCGGCGATATGGAGCAGATGGTGATGGCTGCCCAACAGGTTCTGATTCTGATAGTTGGCTATGTTGGCGACTCAGTTAACCTGCAAAGAAAATGTCAAAGCAAACAACATCATTAGCATGCGAGCAACACAGCGCTTATGCGTATTATAACTTAATTCTACCCAGAGTCAAAGAGTTTGATCCACAGAAAACAGCTGTTTGACAGGGGCAGAGCTAACGACAACTCAGCAAAGGGTAATTCGAGCAGCCGAACTTCAGTCGGAACAAAGGAACAACATTCGAGAAGTACGTACATTTCGTTAACTCAAAATGAAATTCCATCAGCTCGGCAACTGGAACGACAAGCCTCAAGTTATGCGTTAGACCAGCAATTATACAGGGTATCGAATTTGTATACATGAACAAAGCTGGGCTCCTGACACCAGCAGTTCACAAATTCGTATACAAATAATAAATATAAACAATAAATAATAGCTGAAGCATTTTCGAGAGTTTCTATTTGTCTGCAAATATTGCAATTATATGAATCAAAAAGTCTTAAAATATTTATCTTTTAAATTCACTTTTTGAAAATAATAAAACCGCCCCAATTAATTATAAATTAAGACTTCATCTCAGCGTTTATTCAATTCATTTATTGATTTCAACCGAACTGTGCGTGCGATTATTACAACGTGAATTCTATTGAACTAGTTTTGTCACACTTTGTAAGCTACGCCAAGGCAGGTTATACAAAAGTTGACTAGAACAAATTGTAAATTTATTGAAAGAGAATAAAATAGGAGCAGTGGAGTTCAAGAACAAAGACGGCGCTTGTGTTAGAATAATGACATGCCAGAAAGAAGCTCATAGAAAATTGAGTAAAATGAAAGAACAAACAGCATGCAAATTGTGTAGGTCAGTCACAGAGACATAGAGAGACTCCGATGCCAACAATTGTTGCTGCGTATACAGCTCTATTTCACTGGCGGTTATCACTAACAGCCATCGACAGACGCCACGGCTGCTGGCAAGAGAAGAATCTGAATTCAGTTGAATGGGAATAATAGCAGCAGCAGCAGCAGCAGCAGCAACCGCAAGGCAAATAAACAAACGAAAACACACAGAAGGAGAATCGAGAAAGTATACATATGTATATACATTTGAGTGTATGCGAAACAACTTGAAAATTGAGCTGACAACAAACCAACAACCCAAATTGTATTTAAAAAATATGCACATAACTAAAGCTGAGTATCCAGAGATATGTATACATATATCGTGCAGTACATGTGATAGTCGGCATTGTACATACAATATATGCACATATTTGAGCAAAATACACAATCAGGGCTATGAATGCGGATTATAATGGCGCCAGCAAAGCAACGAACCAAGCGAGTACTAAGGACACGCGGCGACAAGCGACTCGAATATGTCGCCCATCGACGCCTGGGTATTGTATCTGTCTCTGTATCTGTATCTGTATCTGTGGGCTGTCATGTATCTAAGCTATCGCCACACTTTGCATATGACAAATTATGCACACAATAATCGAGGCGGGGGTATGCTTAAGTATCCTCTAGCGGAACACACTTATCTCTCCGCTTTGCCCAACTTTCAGTAGCAACAGCTTTTAAGGGCATGCCCCAAAATGTGTTGCTTGTTTTTCGGGTGCGGCTATTGGCAACACTTGAATTAATTACAAAAGCATCACGCGCTTGCTAATCATAATTCAAATTTAATATCGATCAGAAAGGCCTTCTCGATGGAGATGTGGGTCGAAAGACTCGGGGTTTGGTATTAAGGGTGGCTTGCGTTGGAAGCTGTTTTAATCCCACATGATTTATAATTAATAGAAATGCAAAAACCACTGGTTAAAACAATGCATAATGCATAATGTATGGCTAATATTTAAATAGGCCATTGTGCCAACGACGCGTGTTAGATTTATGACCAAAATGCGACCAATTTTGAATTTATTGAATGCGACCAACGCTGCGTATGCGCAATTTTATATAACTTTGCCACACGAACTTCGATTCAAATTTACGACTTTAACATCTCCAATTGTCATTGACTTCTTTGCAAACACATAAACTACATCCATTTTATATTTAATTTATTTAAATAGAAGCCGCATGATGAAAATTTAGTCTTAAATATTGAATATGCGAAAAATATATATATTTATGGCAAAATGTGATATGATGTTGTGGTTATTGTATAAACACACATTAAATAGAGGCTGGCTGGCCCTTGCTCTCTTTCATGCAAGTGCCAATTGGTTACAGCTTAACTAGAGTAACAAGCTAAAGACTAATCAGTCGATAGAGAAGAATTTACAAAGTTAAATTGTATTTCAAAGAATATATACTAAGTTTGCTTCCATTGAAATATTAAAGACTTAAAATAAAATAAATATAATGTCTATATTAATATACATACACTTATTGGTAATTGATAATATTGTAGATATCTTAAGTAATTTTCAAACAATATTTTATATTCTCTTTGCTATCCAAGAATTATCTTAAACATTTCTTGAGTTCGATAAAATTCTAATTTGCAGAAATATGCAAAAAGTCATTCGAAAACTTAAGCAAATATATATTTGTTAAATCTGACTAATGCTGCAAATAATATTATTTAAATACTAGATTTCATTATGAGCTCATTAGCATTAAATGCAAAGATGTGGTCATGCACTTTTGTAATTCTGTCGTCGCTTTCATATAACTTGAGCTCTGAGATAAATGATTTAGCTTGAAATTAAAGATGTTGTGATTTCTTTGCTTCTTCTTTGCTTATTCATGCACTGACAATATCTCAAAATTTTCCATTTCCAATTGCTGCTGCTGTTCTCTACGAAGTGAGGTTATGTATGTGTTGTGAAATTCGCACTGCAGCGATAAAGCAACAGCAACATTTACTACTATTCAGTTCATATATACAACGCAGCCACAACAACAACGGCGTTTCAAATTCTAGTAAAACACAGGCCCTGGCAGCCACAATAAAGGCATTGTTGTTGTTGGTCTGCTGAGGAAATTACTCAGTAAAAATTTAACAAAAGCAACAACAATAGCTACAGCGACGACGACAACAAACACAAGTGAAATACACTAGTCATAAATATTGCTAATGAATTTCCCGCACGCTTTGCTGAGCTCAGAGCCAGCCAAGTCGCGTCTCTCTAATCGACATCCATTTTGCATTGTTTTTTATAATTTGTATTTTTTGTATTTCTGTGTTTTTTGCCATACATTTCTGGCTGGCGCAAAACAAATATAATTAAATGTAATTTTTATAATGACAAATGCGTTTTATTGTCCGTTGATGCTATAAACTAAAAGGTAAAACTCAACCAACCAGCAGCAGCAGCAGCAACAGCTGCCACGCCTTTAAAATTTACCAAATATCACGAAGGCAATTTTCAATTTCTTGCTCTCGCTTTGGCCCAATATTTTAAATTCAGCTGTCGACTGTTAAGAGTGCCCGTCGTGCCACGTAATTACCACACGATTCCTGTCCCACTCGAATCGGGTCAATTGGAGGCTGTGCCACGCCTCTCCCAAATGGAAATTGTCTGACTGACTAGCTGGGCGGCTGTGGGCTAAGTAGATCTATTGTAATATATACACTCTGTTGTGCAAAGCAACACACGCTAATCGATGCACGCCCACGAACATCATCTCGCCGATTATCATCAAGTTTGTTGTGTAGAGGCGGATGCTGCCATAAAATATAAAGATGATTTTTGGGTTGCGAATCTCACTTGCTAGCAATTGTCAGTTGTCAATTGCCAATTGCAGCAGCAGCTGCAATTAGAATTGCTAATGGCGGCAGATAAGCGCAAGTGCACGTTACTTGGATCTCCTCCCACGTGATCGGCTTTTCTTGTTGTAGCTAAGTTATTCCCCGCATCTGACCCTGATACAGATAGTCGCTGGCAGTCGCAGCTAGTTTTGTGTCTATGACCAAATATATGTTGTTGATGAGCTCGTGGCTGTGGCTCCTATAAGCCGCCCAGTGGCTCCAGCCACAGTAAGCTACAAATGCCAAAAGTGGTTTAAGCCATAAATGTAGCTGCTGTTTTATTTTTTCAACTATTTTTTTCTCTGCTGCGCATCCCATTGTGTTCACTGTTTGTGCCATAATTAATATTTAATAAGCCAGACAACTTTTCTGAAGACTGACTTTGATATACCCAAGCGGCTGCTGCTACATTTACATACATATACATATATATGTGTATAAAATACTCTGTTCGTGGCCATAAAATGAGTATTACAGCTATAGTTGGCAAAACGAAGGTCTCTTGGAATGTGAAGAACGGATGGGCGCATGGGTTAAAGAGACGGAAAATACCATAAAATATAAATTTTTAAAATATTTTTAGAGTAGGTAAAATTGTAAAAAAAATTACTAAGAATATGCATTTAAGATGTGTAGATTAATAGAGAGAAGAGGAATAAGTATGTTTAAGTTGACAGAAGAGACTTTGAATAATAAGCATGATTCATATTAGAGTTGTGTCACCCAGCATATAATGTAGAAATATCTATCAAGTTAAAGTATCAATCACTTGGTATTATGAAATGAAAGTGCTCTCAGTGTGTTGATAACTTTCAATGTTTACTTCTCATTTTCACATCTCATTTTCAGCTTGTGCAGCTGCGAGGAAGTAGCCTTTCGAAGCGTATTCGAGTTTCGGTTCGTTTTCCGTAATGTTTGTTTGCGTTATGTATTTATTTTGGTTGCCATTGCTATGAGAGGCAGGCAGCAGCAGCTCAGCTTGTGTTGTCATGCTTATGTGCGCATATTTAATACGATGCTCAAGAAACAATTTTTTTTATAACTTGGCATGCTCCAATTCGTTGGCGCAAGGCGGCGGCAGCCGCAGATAGAAATGCGGCAGCGGCGCGGCGGCTCTTGGTGCGGTCTCCATTTGCCAGCCATTTGAAATGCCATCTGTGCGAGTAGTACGAGAAATATCTTGTATCTGCAAGATAGTTAGTTTTACCTTTAGCTACAAAAGTTTTGCCAACGTGACTTGCCTGCTGCTGCCACACTCTTCTCGCTTTACTT